AACATTAGGGCTCCAATCTCTGAGTTGAGCCTTTTTAGACATAGGGCCTCCATTCCCTAGTCGACTTTTTTTCCAACATTAGGTCTCCAATCCCCGAGTTGAGCCTTTTAGACATAGGGCCTCCATTCCCTAGTCGCCTTTTCGCCAATATTAGGGCCCCAATCCCTGAGTTGACATTTTAGATATAGGGCTCCATCCCCTGAATAGTTTATATTTTGTTGCAAATAACTCACGAAATTTTCCTAGTGAAAACTGGGGGCAGAAAAATTTTGTTTGTTTGTTTGTTTTTGGTGTTTGAGCAAGTTGTACCTCGAGACACAGGGTTCGAGATGACCGAAAGAATGAGTCTCAATTCAGAATAAAGAAAGAAGAAAAAGAATAAAAGGAGTGAATTCAAAAGGTTGAAACGGAGTAAGATGCGAACTGCTCAAGAAATAATTGAAGTCACAAGCTTCGCCTGTCCCACCTTGATCCAATGTTGAAGAAAGAATAAACACCTACAGCTTGCGAGCATCAAGATTTAGATCGGGGTCCATAGCAAAATTAGCTAAGACCCAAGATCATGTTTTAAAGAGATTTATAGATAGGAATTTTGTAACCCGTAGCTGATAGGCCTAGCTAGCTTAACTTAAGATTTTCCTTTTTGGTGTAATAAGGAGGTCAGCAAGCAGTAGCAGCAGCAACAGCAGTGAAATCAAAGCCCCCAGTAGTCCCAGCTACCGAAATTTCCAGAACTACATTGACCTGATTCCTTTATAGCCAAGGATATGTAGGCAACCTTTGAAGCAGGGTTTGATCAGACTCTTTTCAAAAATGTTTCCCATGGAGTGTCAAACGGGTAAAAATCCCTCATAATTGCTCATTTTATCTTTGCCTGGAAACCCTTCGTGTCTCCGAACAAAGAGGGGCAGTTGTGAGCACGTGATTTTTGCCTCGCATGAGTTACTCCTACAGAATCTCCAAAATTAGGATTTTTCTTTTATTATTTGGTTTTTAGGAATTAATTGCTCAATTTTCGTGTTTTGTTTACATTTTGTGTGCATAATTAATTTTATATAAATCATGAAAAATAGCAAAAAATATCATGCACTGCATTTAGGATTTAATTTTACATTTTTTACATTAATTAGTAAATTAGTTTTTTTTATAATATATGAAAATCACAAAAATATTTCATTTTTGCATTTTAAATCTTTAATTTTAAATTTTATAGTTTTTCTTTGAATTTAGGGTTTAATTAATTATTCTAAATACTATGATGAGTGATTAATCTAATTGGGTAGCTTAATTTCGTTTTAAAAATTTAATTTTGGTTTATTTTAATTTGAAAAGGAAAAGGATTTGAAATTGAAAAAGAAAAAGAAAACAATTTGAATAAGGAGTCTGTTTGGGCCCTTTTTATTTAAAATTCCATAGGCCCAAACGATTATTCCTCATTACCCGTCTAGAATCGGCCCAGATCCAGGTTCAGCCCGGTCCAAACCCCTAGTAACCAAAACGACGTCGTTTGATTACCCTTTGATCACGGTCGTTGGATCTCCTTATTCCAACGGTCCGGAACTGGGGAATAAATAATATATATATGTACAAACGTTACCCTACCCCCCTCTCGTTTCATCTCTTTCACCTCACCCTTCTCCGGAGACCCTTACCCAAAGCCCTAACGCCGCCCCGAAATCCCACCGCCTCAGTCTAGCAGCGCCGGTCCCAATGAACACCAAATCAACATTGCAGACTCCCCTTCACCTCCCCGTTCTGAATCCTTACTTATTTTCTTTCGAATCTGTCTGGAACGCCTCGAATCTTGATTTAAAAGGGAAACCCTAGTGTCGCCATTGTTCTCTCCGGCGGCAGAGCCACCCCTGTTCAACCCCAAATTAACACCCTGCAACTCCCATGACCCCCTCACACCAAATCCATAACCCTTTTCCTTAAAATCACCCCAGAACTCATCGAATGTTAAATCAAAGGTTTGAACCCTAAAATCCCAAACCCAAGTCAGTTGAGTTTAACGAAGGTTTAAGGACAAAATTGGTTTTATTCGTGTGTTTTCGTTTGAGAACACACGATTAAGGCCCATTTCATTCAAAAATCGAAGTTTCCTTTGAAGATTTTCAAGACTTTGTCCACCGGGTTTAGGTATTTTTCAGTTCTTTTCCCTTCTTTCATTTTGTTCGCTTAAGTTCTAGTCTCCATCTCCTCTTATTTCGTCTCTTCTGTTTTGCCTCCATTTTTAATTATTTCTGTTTGTATGTGTTAAAGTCGAGTTTGTTCATGCATGTCATTTTAATTTCTATGTTTCTTTGTGTTACTTCATTTTTGGTTTTTAAAGAAAAGAAGTCCGATTTTTCTCTTGGACAATTCTGCCTAGCCCAATGAATCTATACGGGCTTCGAAGTCAGAAACCCAGGAAAGAGATTCAATCTAGTATGGAAGGCCTAGATTTTTGAATTGAATAATTGGGTCAATTTGGACCCATGTTCTGTCTAGGTTCTTAAGTTAAAATACAGGGGTAACTAAGGGTTATTTTGGGTAATGTACAGAGAGAATCTCTCAAGTAACTGCCTGAGAAGCTTCCCAGAAGCTGCATGATATACTTACTTGACCAACAAGTCAGTAAATGAAGGACTAGGTAGCAATAAGGAAAATTTGAAAAGGACTAAAATGATAAAACTGAACCCTTAAGGTTGCCCTAGTAACTTGCCTATAAAGGCATAGTTACTTCGGTTTCCATTCAGATAGAGAGATTTTTAGAAGGTTAAGAAAACTCAGAAAAAGAGAACGGCTAAAATTTGAAGAAAAACCACTATTCCATTGAGTTCCACTTCTGATTTTTGAAATTTCAACTTGCTAAGGGAATCCTTGGCTCAGCTGGTGTGTGAAATGGCTTGAACTTGTTCTTATTTTAGAGTTTGGGGTTGAGTTCTGGGTCAAGGTCACTGTTTCATTGGTGTTTGAGTTTGAGTTCACCGTGTATTTGGTTGAATTTGGGACCTTGCTTACTACTGTTGAGTTCTACTATTTTGGTTTTTGCTATTGCTGGATCTGTTGCATTACTGCTACAGCTGTTTGTTGCCCTCACCTTTTTTCCTTTTTGTAATTTCCAGGTACATATTCTGAAACCTGCATGGCTACATGGTAGCATAACATCAACTTTCTAGTTCATAGTTTTATTTTCCTGTTTTTCTGAACTCCCTTGTTATGATTCGTTTGATGCATTGTGCTTTATTGGCTGCTAACAGCACACTCTTAAGAACTATATTTGGCTTGTGTTTAGTGTGGAATTCAATCTTCTATCGAGCATATTATAGCTAGGCGATCATTGAGTTTTTTTTAAAGTGTTCGAAGGGCTGTAGATGTAGCTGAAGTTTTAAAATCAAATTTGAAAACCTATAAGTTCTATGCTGAGCCCTTTGCATGTATGAGGTCAATTAATTATGGACATAAGTTTAAGGTTAGGCATGTTACATTGATGATCGTACAAGCTTGTTTTATGAGTGAGGGTAATAGTGCCTAAAGTAAAATTGTGAATTGATAGCAAGGTGTAGTATTAAATAATTTGCTTTCGTCAAGTGATAAATGACACAATAGGCATATCTCTTTGGTTCTCACACCTGTTTGCCTCTATTGGGGTTCGATTCCAAATTCTGTGCCTGCAGCCTATGCTCGCCAATATTTGGGCACCTTTCTTGGGCCTGAGTATCGAATTTTTCTTAAGTTGAAGGGAGGCCCATTGCAGTTGGGCAGCCTCTAGATTTGAAGAACTGAAGTTGGGCATCATTTTACGAACAGTTGTAATTTCTTTAAGTAGTCGGTGGAGTTGAGCCATATTAGCAACACGAATAGTCTATGGCCCTCCGAATATTGGTTTGAATACCCTTTTAAAGTAGAATCGAGGTGCGCCGCGCCAAATAGAATCTCAAAATGCGTGGCCCTTACTTAATTATATCTTTTAAAATTCTTAGAAATCGAGGCGTTCCATTTAGCAAATTTTCATGGCCCTCGCAAATTTAAAAACGTGTAGTTGCTTTAGGCGCGCATTTTAATAATATTACCTTCCTAAACTCGGGTGTGCATTTCATGTGACCCAAATCCAAATCTCAACAACTTTAAATAAAATGTGTCGTGGACCGCAAGTGCATTTCATGTGGCGTGGTTCAAGGCATATTTTAAATAACGTTGAATCTTCCTAAAAATGATTAAAAGCGATTTATTAAGTTAAAATTATACCATAGGTTAAAACATGTATTAAAATCAGATAATAGGCCAATTATAATAGTTTAAGCGACCGTGCTAGAACCACGGAATCCGGCAGTGCCTAACACCTTCCCTCGGGTTAAAAAAATTCCTTACTTAGAATTTCTGGTTCATAGACTTCAAAAGGAAAGTTGAAATTCCTCGATTTGGGATTTTAAAATAAACCGGTGACTTGGAACACCAGAAAACAAACCATCCCAAGTGGCGACTCTGAATAAAAATGAATAAACAATCTCATGTCGAATAATGTCACTTTAATTGGAAAAACTCCCTATATATATATATATATATACCCTAGGGTGTGTAACAAGGAGGTGTGACACTTGGCACTGAAGATACTAACCTAAAGAGATGAAAAGATTGAATCGGAACGATGTGGTCCTTATTTGGTGTTTCTTTGTAATCCTGTGAAGTACTTATTGATTATTTTAACTACCTTCTATTTGTTTTCATTGTTCATTCTATTGAGATTTGTGTTTGCCTTACATACTAGTACTGTTCTACAGTACTAACGTTCCTTTTGTCGGGGGCGCTACATCTTTAAATGGATGTAGGTGGTTCCATTGCAGATAGCACCGATCGCATATAGTGGTGCTCTCTTTCTTTCCTCATAGCAGTCTTGGTGAGCCCCTAATTCTCCCAGGGGTTATGTAGTTCTTCTTTTGTATAAATTTTTAAGTTTTGAGGTATCGCCGGGGCCTTGTTGCTGGCATTGTCATGTTGGTCTTTTGTATCATTAGAGGCTCCGTAGACATTTATGTAGGTCATATATGGGTGTCAGGGTGGTCATTGGATCACATTGTATTTTGGAACTCTTCCACTAGATTGTCAATTGTATTTACTTTTGTGAAACTTAACTATGGCATATGGTGTTTAAGTAAAAATGAACTAGCAACGTTTACATATTTATATAACTGATCTCTCCCATGTTTAACAAATGGTGATGTGTTTCCCTCTTGGGTTATGAATGAGTCGGGTAGGAGAGGCTGAATAGGCTTGCTCGACCAGGTTCACTCGGTCGTGCACCGGTCGCGCTCCCCGAGGTTGGGGCGTGACAACTGTATTACCGGCAAAAAGGGTTCCAATTCTACGCGTGAACTAGATGCAAATATGTACCTGGTCAAAGAATTCTACGCGAATGTTACTCACATCTAAAAGGGTACTAAGGTGACCAAAGTGCAGAATCTAAAAATTTGCTTTGACCCCGTTGCACTGAACAAATTTATGGGGTTTGAAGAAGTGGAAGCAGTGCAGTATTTGGAGAAGCTAGCCATGGGTGATGCAGCTTATCCGTGGTTGGATTAGATTCTAACAATCCCAGGGTCAACACTTCTATGGCTCGCAGTAGAGGTTCCAATTTTTCGGGCCACCCTAAACTTTGAAGCAAATGGGTGGCAAACATTTGTGTGTAGCCGCATTTACCCATGTCTCAATGAAAACATGCTCCCACTTCCCCATGCAATCTTGGTGGCTTCAATTATGGCAGGGTATCCGATAAGTGTTGGTACCATCATGTCCACCAATATCACTTTAGCTGTCTAGAAGGAAGAAAGATCATATCCATACCTGAACTTCCTCAATATATATAATTCAAGGATCAAAGGGTGGAGTCAAAGCATTATGATACAGATGTGAAAATCAAGAAGCCTTTCTCCTGGTACCACCGCTAGGGGGCTGACAACCCGAAGTTCAAAAATAAAGATACTACCTCTGCTGGCCAGTCTGAGGAGCCAGCAGTAGTAGTTACTAATTCAACTGTCGAGCCTTCCACAGCAGCCGATACTTCCAATGGGACATCAGCCATGTGACCATCTTCTTCTACCAGCCCACCTGCTTCTGTTAGACTTTTAGTACCATTGCCAGTGCTAGCTTCCTCTGCTTATCCTTAGACTGCACTGCGAGTCTCCCAGACATTGGCGAGTCTCAACAACTAGATGCATGCAACTACTACAAAGCTGACTGATATATCCAGTGTTGTTGTATCACAGTCCTCAGCCCCAGCAGCTCCATTACAGCCACAAGTACCTCCGTTAGTGAAAGAAGCATTGAAAAAGATTCTGCAAAACCAGAAGACCATTACAGATACTCTAGTGGCGCATGGGAAGGTCATTGCAGATTTGAGCAAGCAGGTCAGAAAGATGAAGAAGTCTCTAGCATCAAAGAGGTCAATGGAGAAGTTGACAAAAGAGGTCGAGAAGATTGCATTTGCCGGAGATTTGCCATTAGACCTACTCATGGAGACAGCACCATCAGCAACACAGATAGCACCAAGGGCATCAGCCGGCCAGTCTGAGGAGCCGGTTTCCACTTCGCACACTATTGAGGAGATAATCTGGATGTTCAGCAACCCAATTAACCCTCAGCCTAGTAATGATGAGATATAACTTGAGCCTAAGGTTGCTGATGATCCTATGGAGACTGAGACCGCATAAGGAGTTCTCTTAACTCTCTACCTTTTCCCTGTTTTTATTTTTGTTAAGCATAAGGGACAATGCTTATTTTTCATTTGGGGGTGGTCTATTTATATTATTTGACATTTGGGTTATAATAACTCTGATACTATCTTTCTTTCATCTTTATTTAACATTGATATGTATATATTCTCTCCATTTGATGTAAATATTCATCCCCTTATATATATATATATATTCTTCTCTCTTGTGTATATATCCATTTGACTTCGATTTGTATATTCATTTATCTAACTTTCTGTAGTTTATTTTATAGCTTATTTAGTTTGCTTTTCCTTAGTAGTGTAACTTCTTATTTACTCTAGTAGATTCTTTTTAATTTGCTAGCTTCTTTTTACGTTTTGAGTGAACAATAAGCCTTTGATTTTCTTAATGCCACAGTTCTTTCCAAAGGTGGAATTTTGTGTGAACCGGGTGGCTATTCCCAACGATGGATGGCGTGATAACCTTTTTAAGGGATTGAGTCCGTTTTCTTTCATGTTTTGGTAAATATAGTAGTAATGAATAAAAGGGCTTGAGAAATGATTGTATGCTATCCTTGATCCAAATTGAAAGTTGAAATCTTCCATAGCCTACTAATGTGATATCCCTAGTCAACCCCTTTGATCTGAAGCCATTTTTTAATAACTACGTTACAAGCCTTTATCCATTCTGTAATGACCCTCTCTTGGCACCCGATATTTCATTAGCATTCTCAGGAAATAATTGACAAAAACATAAGTTTGGGGGAGAGACAAGGAGTTTGAAGTGATATAAGGTACAAAGAAGAGAAAGAAATTAAGAAAATGGAAGGCAAAGAAAATAAAGAAAAAACAAAAAGAAAAAGGCCAAAAAGAAAGTGAATAAAGTGAAGAGTTGAAGGGAATCTAAAGGAAAATAAGGAGGTAAGGCTGAAGTAAATAGAATAGGAGAAAAATAAATATCATGCTCAAGTAAGAGTGACGTTACGTCTCTCTAGTTCCCCTGAGGAAGAAGAAAATGACTCAAAGAGTAGAGAAAGTATGAGCCGAAAAGAGGAAATGGTGTGCTTAAGGAAAGATGAAACCATTCTATTCCAACAAGTCCTACCTTGATCCAAAAGCATTCATTACATCCCACAAAAGCCATACATGATTTCAAGTTGAGTGAGCTTACATTAGTGGTGATTTACATGAGGGGCAAGCTTATGGTACTTAAAGCTGGACTTATGACGTTCTTTTGAGAGAGATGAGCAAACTTTTCACAATCCTTGCTTCGAGTGTTGCATTCTAAAGTTAGATTGGCTAATGGAGAGTAGAGGAAGAGGAGTTTGGGATCCACAATAACCTACGTGAAAGAGCAAGCTTCCTTGATAAATAGAGTCAACTCTTGATGCTCTAGAGTCACATTAGAACTATGGTACTCAAAAAGTCATATCATGGTGTTGTTAATAATTCATATGTGTTGTGGGTAATTGTTGGTCCCAATTGATGTGTAATTGATTCACCTTAGGCTAGCTGAAATATACCTTTTTCTAGTGAAGGTGGGAATTGCCTTATTTGCTTGAGGACAAGCAAAAGCTTAAGTTTGGGGGAGTTGATAAGTAAGGATTTTGACCGCTTATTTGCTCTCTTTTACTTGCGTTTTACCTTAAAATGCTTAAAGGTATTCCTGGAAACTAATGAAATATGCTTACTTGCAGGAATATTGGAAAATGAGCCAAAGAAGTTAAAATCAACTTATAAAGGAGTCAAAAGTGAACAAGAACCAAAACTGGACAAAAAGGGCTAGCAGTACGGACCGCACAATTCTAGTGCGACTGCAAAAGAGGGATTCAGAGAGTGGTGTTTTGTCTAGCTCAGGGAGTACGGACCATACTGAAATTGTGCGGCCACATTCACTTTTATGCAGATCGCAGGATTAAATATTCAAAGAGCTGGAAAGTAAAGGAGTGTGGACCGCAACACTTTTGTGTGGCCATAGCCACTTTTATGCGTACCACAGAAGCCTGAAGATTCCAAGCCTAAATTCCCAAGACTGCAGACCACAAAACTTTTGTGCGGCTGTAGGAGCCCATTGTGTGGACCGCACCAGAATTATGCGGCCGCACAACCTTTGCAGGGGCATTTTTGTCTGATATTTTCAGCTTAGTATAAATAGAACTTTTTGTCATTTTTAGGTTAACTTCAATTTGCAGAGATGCACCTGAGCCGTTTTCTTTACTTCTTTAAGTAATTTTGTACTAGATTGACTTATTAACATTAGATTTTCTTTGTTTAATCAATGATTATACATTCTATCTTAATTTCTTCTTGTATTTTTTCATTTTTCATGAGTAGCTAAATCATTATTTAGGGTTGTGGCTCAACCCTAGTGTGGGTACTTAATGGGTATTTAATTTTACGGCTTGTTAGTGATTGGATTAGTGATATTTAGCCTTTTTGTGTTTAATTTCTAGAATTCATGGTTGCAAACATTAATTCATGCCTAATTGACCTAGTCTTTGCTTGAGAAAAAGAGACTAGGGTTAGGAAAACTTAGCTAACAAGAAATTGGGGTGAACTTAAGAAATTGATATCCCTAATTAAAGGATCAAATCTAGAGATAGTAAGACCCGACTTGAGCATACATCACTTGATTTGTGCGATACTCATTTGGACTTGAGAAAGCCAAATTTGGGCAAAATCACCCAAACTACTGAGAGGTATAGAGTGAGCAATTGCGTGCGATTGCTATACCACGATCCCGATAAATCAAACTTGCCCTATAGTTTACAACTCGTTAGGTAGCCACCTAGGTAAAAGTCACGACCCTAAATTCCTTTATCATTTGAAAAACAACCAAAACCAAAATCATTATCTTCTAGTTATTATTTGCAATCATTAGTTAAAAGTAGAAATAGAAACAACCAATGAATATGTGAAAGTGAAATATAGGTCACATCATACACTTACTCTAGTTATATACCTAATCCTAATTCTTACTCCCTGTGGATTCGATCCCGACTCCTGTTTTGTTTATTATTGCTTCGACCGCCTCACTACCTAATTGTAGTGTGAGTTTGGGCGAGATCACTTATGTCATGAAGATTTATTGATTTTGGAAACTAAACTTCTATTCTTCTATTCTCTCACAAATGGTGAGGACACGTGCGATCGGATCAGGCAGACGGTCACTAGTGCCACCAGCTAGGTCTGCGAGAGGCCGATTCCGCGGTAAAGATCGAGGCGCAACTTGTACCATAGCTAGAGCAGCACCTTTGGAGCTACTAGTTGCTCCAACTAAGGAGCATACCTTATGTTATTGAGCTGGTGGAATCTACCCAGACACCTACCTTGCCCATCGTGATTTCGGGCCTTCAGGAGGCTTTGGCTCAGATTTTGACAATATGCACTAGCCCTTAGGCGGTTTCAGTTCTGGCCGCACCAACCAGTTCTCAGGCCGAGGGAGGTGCTCAGATTCCTGTCGTCCGTACTCCAGAGCATGTAGCTCAGGGACTCCAGACACCAGGGGTACTACTAGCCCAGTCGGTTGCTGCTATTCGGGTCAAGGTTGGCCCACCTATGAGTGATTAGGAGCACAAGAGACTAGAGAGGTTTGGGAGGCTTAAGCCTCCAGAGTTCAGCGGGGAAGAGTCAGAGAATACTCCGGATTTCCTAGATAGGTGTCAGCGGATTTTTCGTACAACAGGTATTTTAGAGATTATTGAAGTTGTATTTACAACTTTTTAGTTGACTAGGGCAGCCTACCGATGGTGGGAAGCCTATGAATTGAGCAGGCTAGTTGGAGCAGCAACACTTTTATGGCATGAGTTCTCCATTCTCTTTTTGGAGAAGTTTGTTCCACAGACCCGTATGGAAGAGCTGTGTAGAGATTTCGAGAAGCTACGCTAGGGAGATATGACTATGACCTAGTATGAGATGAGATTCACAGATTTGGCCTGTCATGATATATTGTTGGTTCCCATATAGAGATAGAGGATCAGGAGGTTCATTGATGGACTCAACTATGGCCTACATTACAGTTTGGGCCGAGAGACTGAGACAGATGCTAGGTTTTACCAGGTGGTCGAGATTGCTAGGCATTTGGAGTTTGTTCACAGGCTTGAGCGAAAGGAGCGGTAGGGAAAGAGGCCCCATAGTTTTGGTGTTTTTAGTGGTACCTCATCTAGAGATTAGTCACATCACAGCAGAGGTCGTCCTTACAGGCCCGCTTAGATGGCTCATTTGGTTAATCGTGGCACATCAGCTAGTCATAGTTCTTATAGTGCTCATCTGGGTCAGTCATCTTTCCGTTCTCTATCAGCTCAGAGTTCGTCCCGTGCTCCATCAATTTAGTGTTTATCAGTATCGGGTTCTTTAGTAGTTATAGTTCTCAGGGTCTGATGCAAGCCCTATTACTATTTTCGGCTTGATGTTGTTATGATTGTATAGAGTTGGGGCATATGAGGAAGTATTGTCCTTGTCACTACAAAGGTCAAGTGCAGCAGGGAGGCCAGTCTATGAACCTTGCATTAGTTGCCATACCATCCGCTCAGCGAGCTAGGGGTGAAGGTCGTATGGGTCGAGGTCGCCCAAGAGAGAGACGTCAGATAGGTGGTGGTCAGGCTCGATCCAATGCTTTTCCCGCTAGGCCGAAGGCAGTTTCTTCAGATTTAGTGATCATAGGTATTGTTTTAGCGTGCCACAGGGATGCTTCCATATTATTTGATTCTGGTTCCAACTATTCATATGTATCATTGTACTTAGCTAGTTTTTGGATATGTCCCGTGATTCCTTAATTACAATTGTCCATGTATCAACACCGATGGGTTCTCGGAGACACGAATGTTGATCTTTTACTGCTTAGTATGGTTGATTTTGACATGGATTCTCGGAGGCAGATTCTTCTAGGGTTGTGAACGGAAAGGTATGTTAAAAGCTTGATAGCTAAATGTATGTGCTATGGATAGGTCATAACGGGTTTTCAGAGGTTATCTACCTATTTCGAGAAGGATCAGAGTTGATTCGAAGGCTACCGGTAGGCCTAATGAGGATGTGTGTTTTATATTG